GATACACACACAGGCACATACACAAGATACACACACTCAGATACACACAGTAACACATAAACACTGGCACACACACAGGCACATACAAACACACACTGCTACATATACACACACACTGGAACATACACACACCTATACACACACACACACTGAAAGATACACACACTGACACTCAGATACACACAGGGCCAGATTAAGAGCCCAGTGGGCCTGGTGCTGACAATTATGACGGGCCTAATTACAAAATCATATCGACCAAAAACAGTAAAACACTCCCAAGCATCATATACCTGATGGAGATGGTGCTGGAGAGAAAGAAAAAACAGCAGCTATAAGAAACCACATACCCAATGCTAATCTCTCTCTAATTTATGTTTTCATCTTTCAAGTAAATCCATAATCCCTAACAGCAGTGTCCAGTCAAGCAGGAAGTAAATGGGCATGGTAAAAGGTTGTGCCACTGACACAAATCACGTAACCTGCCAAAAGGGGCGAACATGCCCAAAAAGAGGACATGTCTGCTCAAAGAATTAGAAGGCCAGCCTGGCATGAATGCATGTCAGGCTGCCTGCCAATCATGCAGCTGGCCAACTAAGGTTATACTATGCAGACAGCACCCTGAGCTTGGCATAAATGCATCTAATAATGCGCTCACTCAACGCGTTCTAAGGACTGTCCCCTAGCACTCGCTAGTCCACTTGTCTCCTTACCTTCTTACTAGCAGGCAGAAGCTCCTGGTACATGGTCTGGGACAGAGAAAAGCTGTATGTAGTGAGTGTAGAAGAAAGGGAACATGCCACAGTGTTAGAGAGACCAAAGTCAGCATTACCGTAAAGGATAACTATAGGGTCAGGAACACAAACATGAATTCCTGACCCTATAGTGTTAACACCACCATCTAGCCCACCTGGACCCCTCATGCCTCCATAAATATAGCAAAATCTTACTATATTCAAGCCTGAAGCTGTAACTCTGCATGCTGTTAAACTCATAAAAACAAGCAGTCTGCTGACATCATTAGAAGTGGTGGCCTGATCCAATCACAGTGCTTCCCCATAGGATTGGCTGAGACTGACAAAGAGGCAGATCAGGGTCAGAGCCAGCATGATTCAAACACAGCCCTGGCCAATCATCATCTCCTTATATAGATTAATTTAATTAATGAATCTCTATGAGGAAAGTTCAGTGTCTGTATGCAGACGGAGGAGACACTGAATGTTTGGATGCATTTTAGGCAGCCATGACCCAGGAAGGATCTCTAACAGTCATCTAAGGAGTGGCCAGTGAAGTTATCACTAGGATGTAATGTAAACACTGCATTTTCTCTGAAAAGACAGTGTTTACAGCAAAAAGCCTGACGGTAACGATTCTACTCACCAGAGCAAATTCAATAAGCTGTAGTTGTTCTGGTGACTATAGTGTCCCTTTAACTATATTCATTGTCAGCCAGTCCACACAAGTTTTGTTCCCATACATCCCTCTTAAGTTTCCATACTTAAGTAAGAGTATGTGAAAAGTAGTTAGGGTTGCCACCTTTCTTGGAAAAACATACCGGCCTTACTAATTTGCATAATAAAATATGTATGGATGACATCACATGATGTAAATCACAAGGAGTGACATAAGAGAAAATGCTGTAAAATCACCAAAAACTACTTAGTTTGATTCTGCTGTATAGATGGATTCCTCCCAGTGCCCCATGTCTCCCAGTGCCCTCATGACTCAGTGCCCCCATGTGTCGATTACTCCAGGTCTCAGTGTTCCTATGTATCAGTGTCTCAGTGCCCCAGGGGACACTTGAAGACATGGGGACACAGACACCAGGGACACAGACACTAGAGACACTGGCTGGGAGACATGGGGACATTGTGACACTTGAGGCAATGAGAGACATGGAGGCACTAGGAGACATGGGGACAGTGAGACACTGGCTGACTGGGGGCACTGGGAGACTAGGGGTCACTGGGAGACTATGGGGGCACTGAGACACCAGGTACACTGGCTGGGAGACATGGGGACACTGTGTCCCCACGTGTCTGTGTCATAATGTCTCCCAAAGTCCCTTAGTGTCTCAGTGCATGTCTCCTTGCAGCCTTTCCCCCCATCCCTTACTTCCCTGAGTTGTAGGCTGTCTCTGCAGGGAGGGAGTTGCTGTCTGGACTCTCTGTAGCTGCACCCCTGCAGATCAGTGAGTATAGATAGGCAGGCAGGGATATGCTGGAACTTCCTATCCCTGCCTGTCTCCACACACACAGCGACCCCTACTGGCCAGTGCTGGTATTGCAGAGTAATCTCTTGTTTATACTGAGAAAAATACCAGCATTTGTATTGCCAGTATCACTGCAATATTGGCACCAGCCAGGCAGCCTCAAATACTGGCTGTGTCAATAAAATAAAAGCCAGGTGGAATCCCTAAGAGTAGTGTGTGAAAAAAAAAATGTAAAAAATGGGGGCTATTCCATGGGCCTGGGCCTGGAGCTGCAGCTCCATCCCACAGCCCCTATCCCAATCCGGCCCTGTATGGAGGTAAAGTATACACCCCTGTATATACTGTGTATATAATGTATGGGGTAAATATACCCCCCCTGTATATACTGTGTATATAATGTATGGGGTAAATATACACCCCCTGTATATACTGTGTATATAATGTATGGGGTAGTGGATACAGTGCTGGGAGACACAGGGAGGAGCTGCCAGTCAGGTGACTATTGGTATATGATGAGCTTCCTATACAGTTACACAAAGGAAATGTTCAAATATAATGTTCTATGTATCTAATGTGAGGTCAATGGGAACTACCTGTAATGTATGTGGGAAATATATATATAATGTATGGGGTAAGTATACACCCCCTGTATATACTGTGTATATAATGTATGGGGTAAATATACACCCCCTGTATATACTGTGTATATAATGTATGGGGTAAATATACACCCCCTGTATATACTGTGTATATAATGTATGGGGTAAATATACACCCCCTGTATATACTGTGTATATAATGTATGGGGCAAATATACACCCCCTGTATATACTGTGTATATAATGTATGGGGTAAATATACACCCCCTGTATATACTGTGTATATAATGTATAGGGTAAATATACACCCCCTGTATATACTGTGTATATAATGTATGGGGGTAAATATACACCCCCTGTATATACTGTGTATATAATGTATGGGGGTAAATATACACCCCCTGTATATACTGTGTATAAAATGTATGGGGTAAATATACACCCCCTGTATATACTGTGTATATAATGTATGGGGGTAAATATACACCCCCTGTATATACTGTGTATATAATGTATGGGGTAAATATACACCCCTGTATATACTGTGTATATAATGTATGGGGGTAAATATACACCCCTGTATATACAGTGTATATAATGTATGGGGGTAAATATACACCCTCTGTATATAATGTGTATATAATGTATGGGGTAAATATACACCCCCTGTATATACTGTGTATATAATGTATGGGGTAAATATACACCCCCTGTATATACTGTGTATATAATGTATGGGGTAAATATACACCCCTGTATATACTGTGTATATAATGTATGGGGTAAATATACACCCCCTGTATATACTGCATATATAATGTATGGGGTAAATATACAACCCCCTGTATATACTGCGTATATAATGTATAGGGGTAAATATATACCCCCTGTATATACTGTGTATATAATGTATGGGGTAAATATACACCCCCCTGTATATACTGTGTATATAATGTATGGGGTAAATATACAACCCCTGTATATACTGTGTATGTCTGTCTGTGTGTGTGTGTATGTGTGCATGTCAGTGTTTGATTGAGTATGTGAGAAAATGTGTTTGTTTAGGTACCTGCACCCCTCCGAACACATTAGAGAGATGTTTTTACTCCCCTTTTTCCTTATGCCGTGCCGATTTCGCCGCGGCTTGTCCTGCCTCCATGGCTAAACCAATGCTTTCCCATAGGAATGCATTGGGAGGATATTTTTGCATGTTCTCTATGGGTAACAGTCAGCGACTCCATGTAGAGCACTGACACAGATCTCTCCAGTGGCCGTCTGTGACTGTCGCTAGAGGTGTTACTAGGCAGCAATGTAGACACTGCCTTTTCTCTGAAAATCTAGCGGAACTGCACTGGTCGTGTGGGTGGCTGTGGCCATGGAAACCCTGTATAGATCATTGGTCACCTAATCGTAATAAGCCATCATAGGTCCCCGTGCCCATTTCAGTCTGCTACACCCGCACTGAGTCAACCATACTCTGACAGCACCCAACGTACTACCGCTCAAACAAGATGCTTCTGCCCTACCTACAGCACTACTGCCGGTCTCATCCTAGGCCTTATATTATGCAACGTTCTATGAGATGCACCTTCTAGGAGATTACTGAACCAACACGACTGGTACCTAATGTTATCTTACTCTTTCTTTTTCCATCATGTTATTGATTTGCATAACTTATATGATTCATAATATTTATTTGTAGCATTCCTACCATACTATGTTCAAATACCATTGGATTTAGTGAAATACCGTGTAATATCTACAATAACTGCATACTTTTATTATTGGTATGAATGTGCCGTATTATGCTGTATCGTGTATATCTTCTCTCTTTACTTTCTGTTAAATCTTGATCAATAAAAAGCAAATTAAACAAGAGAATCATAAAAGCTTTCCCTCCCGGCCCCTTGGTAATCCACCCTGGTCTCCTGCAAGTCTTCCAAAAAATAAAATAATAATAATAATAATAATAATACTAATTATTAAACATTTATCGTAAACTATTCTAGCAACCTACTTGTATATCCTACCATTTCTTTGTGTCACTTTATCACACTCCCTGTAGAATGTAAGATCGCTGGAGCAGGGCCCTCAACACCTGTGTATATAATGTATTTATTGTATCCATTGAAATACACTATGTATCTGTAATTACAAAATATTCTAATTCTTGTTCTCAGGCTGCCTGATTGGCTTAATGATGACAAACACAAACCGGAATCAGATGACTGAGAAGATCCTGGATCTGACCCTGGTGGTCAACTACCTGCTGACTGGAGAGGTGAGGGATTATGGGAATGTCACAGCAACTACACACTTTTATCCTGTGCTTTAACATGGATATTCTGAGACTTATTATGGAGAAATTTGTAAAGTAGGTACTGGGTATATTGTTAATAAACATTTAATTAATAAATCCATTATAATAGCCAGGTAGACCCTGTGTGAATGTAGAAATAAAACATATAGGATTGTGTGTCATTAACGGTGCTGGATTGCAATACTGAGATTTGTGGAATATTTTTCTGTTGGTGTTAAAGCTTGGTCATGGTATAAATGTGGGGATTGTGATGATTATAAGACATGATTATAAACAGGTAGCCCTAGCATAGCATTTCTCAGCCCTGTGCACTATACAGGACTTTATGATGGAGAAAGCCGGCATCGCACACACAGACAGGGTTAGCAGTGACAGAGGTGGGTGGTAGAAGCTTAGTTGGAGAGTTATTTTAATACATGTTTCTTTATGTGTAGGATTACATTGTTATGAAGAGATCTGACGATCCTACAATACAGAGAAGCAGTCCCTGTGTGTTAAGAGGATCCTGCAAGACCCAGAGCTCCAGCACGGTGTGTCCACCTCACTCACTGATACATGAGGGAACCAATGAGCAGAACATCCTGGAACTGACCAATCAGATCATCCACCTGCTGACTGGAGAGGTGAGGCTGCTGGGAATGGGACATCATAGAGTAAAACCAAGGGATGTGTCTGGATGGTGACTGGATAAAGATGTTGGGATCTCACTGTCTGTTATTTCTTGTAGGTTTGGAAGCATTTAAAAGGGCAAAAGGAAACTTACAAGGAAGTGATGATGGAGAGTCACCACCCCCTCATCTCCTTGGGTGAGACGATGTTTAATCAGCATTGTGTTTGGTTATACAGCAGATATCATTAACTTATATCCTCAAACACCCGGTACACAGTGTAAGATCTGCAGTTATTACAGTTATTATTTTGTAAGCTGCAGGAACAAAATTAGTTTATTATCTTTTATATGGATCACAGAGATGATGTTATACAAGCCGCATGTGGTGGCCACTGAATGTTTGCAATTCCTCCCCCCCAGTTAGGCTGTTCTCTGAAGTCACTGGGAATTCTGATGGATTTAGCTACTAGTTCAGTCATAGGGATTCTTCCTGGACAGTGCTGCACATTTCAGGAAAGTTGAGGCCTACTGGATTAGAAGCCATCCTGGTTTATCCAGCCTGTACAAGTTCTTCTGCGCGCTAGGTAAAAATTCACTTTGCAAGTCAATGTAGACTTGCTAAATAGTATGTCACACATATATGTATAAATATACCGGTATTTTTAACAAATAGTTAAATGTGGCGAAACCGACCTCACCACTGGGCATTGGAGAAGACTGATTGCCAGCCTCTTGCCATGTGATTTATGGAAGATCTGGCCCTTTAAATACAGTTTTTGGGCATAGTGTAATTTATTGTGCTGTTTCTGGCCCTTTAAGTACTTTGGGAAAAGACCTGCAGTTTTGGCATGGCAATTCGGATGCAGCCGAAGTAGTCGAAGTGGCCCCCATTAGAAACCGAACACGTGGCGGCGGCCATTTTGATTCATTCGAATGCAATCAGCGGTGTGTGCCGTCAAACTCATGGAACTAAAATCGGCTACAGAACGGCACGAACACCGCTGAAATTTTACCTTCCCTGGAACTAATGCATTTGACAGTTCGTTCGACAATTCGAATGGTTGTCGTTCGTCTGTTTGAACTGACTTTAACATGGGAAATAGACCGGCCGCAGAGCCTGATTCTCTGGAACTGTTTTGGGCATGAAAATGTGCTTGCGGTCGGTCAAAGGTGACTTATATCTATCTCCTGTACGGATTCGAATGATTTTTGGCTATGTTTGTATTTCAAATATGCTGATTAATAATATGTGACTTTTATTAATATTGAATGTATAGTTTTAGAGTTATGAAAGTTGGGTAAAAAGTATGTTTTAAACTGTACGGCTAATTGTGTTACCTCTCAGGCTAAGGGGAGGAGATGTGTGGGATGTAACCATTGTTTGATTGGCTAATGTATAATTGTCTGTGGGCGTCTCCCTTGCACAGGAGAATTGCATAAAAGCAGAGTGTGTCTCATTAAAAACCTCAGTTCTACTTCACCCTCAATTTGGAGTGCCGTCTCTTATTGGGGGAATCTGCTACAAGGGATTGCTATGTTTGTCATACTCCCTTGCTAAATCACTACTACGCTCTTGTAAGAGCTTGTTTCTGCCTTGCTCTCTGTCGGCTGGAGTGCTTGGAGCCCTCAGGAAGTGCTCGGAGCATCCATCAACGGAGGTACCCAGTCGGGGTGCCAGGTGATCCGTTACATTAATGCATTTATTAACCCCTTAAGGACACATGACGTGTGACATGTCATGATTCCATTTTATTCCAGAAGTTTGGTCCTTAAGGGGATAAACAAATCTTTAAAAAGTAAAAAAAAAAAATCATATGTTCATGTAAGACTCAATAGAGATGCACAGCCGCTTGCAAGATAAAGTGGTGAGTACTACGGTACATGTACCCGCTACTCACAACCACGCTTAATCACTGAGGAATCTCCCATCAAAGTGTTGGCGTCTCTGCGGTCTGCCTTCTCATGTGCAGTCAGGTTGCGGTCTCGGCTCTCGCACGGTACTGTTTGTCTTTCTCAGCTGCCACAGCTGTTTAAGCTCCGCTCACCTGGGTATGTATTGCGTAGTGCTCTTTCCCATAATGACATTATATATACAGTCCATTCTGTTGCAACTCTAATAACAGTTATTAAACCGCTCATAAATAATAGCTGGTAAATTTCATCCAGTATTGTTTGTGCTAAAATAAGCACATTAATTATCCATCATACAAATTGATCATAATCCCACACAGTAACTGGTAAATTATATGGAGTTTTGTTTGTGCAAAATAAGCATATTAGTAGTCCATCATACAAATCAGTCATAAGTAACATTCATTACACAAGAGTTTCCATAATATAAAATTCATAAGGAAATAAAGGGAACTAGTAAGGTTAGATACAGCAGTATTATAGAACTTAATCATATAATCACATCATAACAGTCTTTAGTAATAGCACCCGTGGATAATAAAGTGTCACCATTCAAAAATCCAACCCTTAAAAAGTGTAGAAAAGGCTTCGATAAATACAATATAAAATTACTATTCAGATCTGAGATGGACATTTGTGACTAATGGATATGCCATTACTGTGAAAAAAATCCATATAAAATCTATAAAAAAAGGAAAATGTCAAAAGTGCAGGAAAATACACAAGTAAATAAATATAAGTATAAAAATTAAAAACAAATTTAAAAAATGTCATATCTCAAAATCATTATTCAGTCCATTGGAAATAAGGGTATTTAATTTGAATATCTATCTCATCTCTGTTTTTCCTAAATCCTGTATAAAATTGCCCCCTCTCCAATTCTTTTTAACTTGCTGGATTCCTGTGAACTCTAATAGGGATGGATCTGAATTATGGACTTCCTTAAAATGCAGAGACACTTGATGTTGTAAATATAGTCTCTTAATGCATCACTCTACCCAAGGAATCAAATTCAGTTTATTTTTAAAACCAATTGAATGGAATCTAAAACAATTACTTTTGGTTCCACAATAATTTTTACCTCCAGATTTGTGGCACAGCGACGGGCACCAAGTTCACTCCCAGCTACGCTAATCTATTTATGACCCATCGGGAAACTTACCATATGGGTGCTTATAGTGACTAGGAAGTGAACTAGGTGCTCTATAAATGCTGTATTGATTACCTATTTTTGATAGGGGGGAGAGGATCGGTTAAAAACTTTGATAAACTACATCAATTCTAACCAATGGGGGATAAAGTGAAGAACAAGAGACAAAAACCTAGTAATTTTTGCACTTTCCTAATTTGCATATTGTAATTCTACAAATCAGTTAAATTTCCAGTTTCCACCAACAAAGGGCAATGGAGAGCCAGAAAGAAGTCTATCAGTTGATATAGTAAAACACAAGTGGAGAGCAAAACATAACATAATTTAACAATCCGTTACAGAAACAGGACCCGGATAACAATGACAACTTTATTATTCCTTAACCATTTATGACAGAACTATTCCATCATGGATGTCCTATGTATTCCGTCATGGATGCCCTAGATCTTATTTAACTTGTAGGGCACCCCACCTGCAATAAAAATAATTAGAAAAAAAAAGTTATATGTAACGTATCTCCTGGCACCCCTACTGGGTACCTCCGTTAAAGGATGCTCCTAGCGCTTCCTGAGGACTCCAAGCACTGCAGCAGACACCACAACCACCGAACCAGAGAAGCATACGAATGCTCTCAAGCATATGAATGCTGTAAACAGCTGAACAGGAAAAGCATACAATCAGCTTACACTCCTGGCAATCGGCATACAATCCAATGCCCAAATAACGAGACGACACTTCGTTTTGAGGTCAAGCAGAACTGACTGTACTGGCACATACAGCTTCTTTTATTCACAATCTCCAAACATAGAACTGCCCATAGGGTTTTGAAATACAACCAATCAATCCGTACAATACACACAGACACTCCCACACAAAATCCTCCCCTCTGCCTATGATATGATTACTGAACACAATGGTTAATATAATTATCACAGGCAGAGCAATACAGTATTATAAAACATATCACAGGGAGCCCAAAACATGCAATAATCCCATAAAAAGTATATCCTCGGGAACCGGGGGATCTGGGTTAACCACATATCCAAAATTCACCCAGATCCGTTCAGTAGTTTGGAAGATGCAGTTTAATGCAGATTCCGCAGAACATATACTGGCTATATGAAAAATAATTACTGTATAATGTGTCCCGTGTTGTATAGTTTAAAACTACTGCACGATGTCTTTGTGCACCAAATACCGG